ACTTGCGAATGAGCTCGTATAGATGTCGGTCATTGGTAGTGGAGAACTTCTGGAGGGCTGGAAGAGTTTTCTTTGGATCTCCAAGACGTTCTGTGCTCGAACCCATAAATAAGTCGGAAGATCGAACTCCATCGCAATCGCAACGCACCAGCTAGATAGTTCTGTATTTCATTCAACTGCCTGGATATCTCCCGTTCTTCTTGCTCTTGTTGAGATTTAGGTTTTTCTTTGTGCTTGCCATCATCGATAATTCCACGCTTTAAAAGTCCAAGTGGGACCGGAACCTGTCAATTCGCCACCAAAACAACTTGCACAATGCACCCTCACGTTATATTTGCTGCAAATATCCAAGTAATATGAAACGTCTTTGCTGAACCTGATCGAACACGGGATTCTTTCATTATGAACAATAGACTGAGAAACGACGAAGTGAAACCCACGTTGGCTGCTTTCCTATGACAGCGATCAATGCCGTATAAGCATTATCATTCAATTGCGTCACAATCCAGAGTAGTCTTGACACTCTTGTTTCAACATCCTCCGACTCCAATATGTCCTCCGCCAGCACCTTCTCGACCTGAGCTGTCACTTCGCTTTCATTTAAGTACAACAGTTCAAGAATAGCACCAGGTATCCAAGAAAATGATTTCTTCGGAATGAGAGGCTGGAGCTCCGACTTCGTCCTGCATGAAAAAAATAAAAATCAAAAAGAAACTCAACCGCTGCTAACTCATCGAAGACGTAAGAACATACATTTCCGCGTATGAAAGTTTGAAAATTCTACCCATCGCTTTAATGGCCACGTGGCGTGTCCCTGTCTTCTTATCTTTACATCGCTGTTCGAGTTCTCGAAGAACCACTGTGCCAAGGTGAGAAATAGCCAAGGGATCGAGCTTTGAAATGATGTGTACAACAGCAGTTCGAACTCGATCATCGGGATCTCGAGCTTTCATGGCCAGAATATCTGCCAAAAGTTTTGAGTTGTCAGACTTTTGAACGGCGGACAACACCGCACATCAAAATTCTACCATCTGCATCCTTTGTAAAATCAGGATGATTTCGGTAAATGTCAGAGACCCTCTCTATCATTTTAAGTCGGACCATAACATCCTTGTCTTTTGCTCTGACCGATGACACAATCGGAATGATGTCGCGTCGCAGCAATGCAATAGGACTCACCTCCCTAACCATTTTTGGAGTGCGGTCGGCATCGCCTTAGCAAGCGTCGACCCTTTCTCGAAAAGCATTTGTCCAAGACTGTCTGTAGCAGCTAGGCGGATTTGGTCGTTTTCCGTCTGTCATCGGGGATCGTTCATACTCCGTTGCGCAAGCTCAAACGTAACCAATTACCATGGTTTCATCTTCTAAAACTGGGATTAGGCGATCCAACACCGCTGGTGCTGACCGATGGATAGAGACAATGGATTTATGCGCAGATATCACAGTTTCGACATCATTCTCCTCTTTTGCACGAAGGATGATATCCGAAAAATGCTACAGATTGCGGGATCAACGTGAGAGGTCATCGCAAAATGTGAATAGTGGTCAATCTCACTGTAGCAAAGTAACGCTGCAGAAATTCCGCAGTATTCTTGCAAAGATCAACAGCCAGGTCAAACGCTGCGGTATTTTTCTCCTGGAAACAAGGATCTAAACCATTTCTTGTCGACCGGAAACCTGTGTTTGATGAAACAAACCTTTTGCGGTTCAAACCTTGAAACAATGGCTTCGACAGCCTCGACAGGCAAGCTGCGAAACTCTTCCACAACCTGCTGCAATATATCAAGGAGGCACATAAAGACATTCTTTGAGTGGTCGGGCCTTTTAGGTGGGCGAGAACGGGAAGGTTGGTGGAGTTTCATTGATAAACAAAGTCTCTTGATAGGAAAGGAGAGAGGGAGTTGTATTCTCACCTTATAATCCGAAACGCGCAGTTAAAGAGCTCTCTCACAAGCTCCTCCTGACCATCATGAATATCAGCAAGACAAAGAATACTCCTTACAGTTGACAAAGACTCCAACAAATAATATTGCTGCTGAAAAAATGCATTGTCCTCGGTGTTATCACGAAGCAGCTCGAGTTGTTTCAAGAAAAACTGGAATGCCTCCTACGTAGAGGGAAACGGTCGCAATGACGGCACAGTATCAAGAACCGTCGCTCACGACCAGCAAAGGCATTGCAATCATTTCGTACCTTGAGCTGTCGCTCTCCGTAAGGTGGATTTGGAGCATATAGCCGAAATACGTCGGCCAAACACACTGCGACATAAGCTCTGACACCCTTATCCTGTGGATTAAAACAAAGAAGCGCAAGACGAGAATGCCAATGTACAAAAGCAGAATATAGTAAGGGCAGTCTCACCTTGTGGGTGACGAGCTGTGGTTGAATCAAATCCTTTGCAACACTGTCGAGTGAAGCCAGGTCGAGTTCAACTTGATCCAATCGTGAGAGCTCGTTGTGGAGATCCTATGACATAATTTCCGTCATCGCCTCTTGTTCGTTGATCTCTAAATGAACCTCCTGAGAGGCGAATTTAAAAAGGTGGAACCACGGTTACACCATGTGGTCCCCGCTGTCGCGGACCCAGAGGCAAGCGTCCATGTGTACTTTGGACATCCAACCAATGGTTTCCTTTTATCCCACATGGCCCCTCGGGGGAGTGCTGCGGGTTGTTACCGTTGAACACTGAACCCGAACTCCGGCGACCAAGCTTCCTCCGCCTTTCCTTCCGTCCCCGCCACAGTGCGACGGAGAAGCAAGAGCATTATATAGTTCCACTTTTCCGGCGGTGCCTCATTCCTCGAATCCTCTGAATCAACCTCTTGAAGATTGAGCAGCACCACTTCGTCTTCATTGCCGCACCTTTAGCCGTTTTACCAACTCAGAAACCGCGATCGGTTTTCCTGCTGATGGAAAAATCTTTTGATTGAACTTTAGTCGGACAACCATGTTGAGAGTCGTCCTGAATCAGGATGGAGTTCGTGGAACGATCCAGTCCCAAAACCAGGAGTGCGCTTAGGGATTTATCGAGGTGGTGGCAAGTATTCAAAAATTGATCGTGCGTCCGTGGAGAATCGATGGCGGTTGATATGTGAAGGTCAATAGGTGTCGTTCTTGCTGTTGCAACCACTAACTACCGTACACCCCCAATTGTTCAAGGTGATGATTTCGCTTTCGTTGTTATGAAAGAATACACTCGCGTGACTTTCCAAACGTTGCATTATATCGCTTAGGGAAGCTTCGTTGCGCTAAAAATTCATAAGTTCAGGGAGTTTGTTCATGAGGGACTGCCGTAGTCATGCCGACTACCTCCATCTCCACTTTGGACCATCCCCCTGCGACACACATGAGCGCTACTGACGGGGTTCCAGCTCTAAGCGAGAAAATCACTTGGTCGCTTACCCTCCCAACTCTGCTTCCTTGTTGACCGGGCTCGAAGTGTAATCCTACTCGTGGACCATCAGCACATCCCGTGAAACCAGGTACTGGAAACGCATCAAGTACATCGATGCATTTGGAACGGATTAGGGGTACTTCTACATTCGGCCTCGGTTTTGGCGTGTTGTCGCAAAGTCAAGAGGACGTGATCGTGGCTTCCAGGATGCTATTTCCCTGGACGAAGGGTTGATATTACTTCCGAAACGTTGCTGGAAGTACTGGAACTCGTCTCGGGCAGGTCCTCGGGAGCCATGTCGTGGCTAATACTCCCAGTTAACTCGTCGAATGCCAAAATGTTACGGGGATACCGCCTCAGCCTCGCGGTAATGAAGGCAAATCGCCACTGAGAACCCAAGTTGGGGAGTTTCAGTTGAGTTGAGTTTGGGGTGCTGCCAACGGGAATCAGGAAATCCCCAAATAACGTTTGGCTGGTATCTTTTGATGGAGACCAGGCATTGGAAGCTTGGATACCTTGGGCGTGCCACCGACACTATGAAGGATGAGTTTTCGTGTGTTTAGAAAGGGAGGATTGTTTGAAGTGACAGGAGGGACTTGACAACACGGTGCGGCTGGAGTACTGGCGGGGGAATGAGAGTGGGTTCTTACATTCGAGACATGTTATGATTTCTCGCCACGACCGCGAGAACATTGTTCGTGGGCAACACTTGGTGAAGAAGAACCGCAGCCCGAAGGGCAACTTGGATCCTGATCGCCCACTTTGGCGAGACAAGTGGCACGACACAAGCAGCTCCAACCTGAACGGCTTGAGACGCTGAATAAAGTTTCAAGAATGTCTGCGGTGCGGTGGGGAAAGTGCCGAGTTGGGAGAAAAACGGAGAAATTTATCGGAACAGTGGAGGAAACAAATGTATCGCTATTGTGCTTGTGAAATACGTCTCTCGAAAAAAGTGTACCCTTTCAGAGGGAATCCCCGACGATGAGGTTCCGGAAAACATCCGATGGGCCTCAATAACTAACTTGAAACATCCATCCAACAATAACAACTGGGCAATAACGGTCACACATGCTACGGAACCATGTAGAAGGGATGAAAGTACGATTTCTGGCTTCTGGGAGTTGGAAAGCGGATCCAGAGTAAGCAGAGTAAAACAAGAATCCGTGGGGAAAAGTGGTCGGGTTGTGTGGGATAGAGAGAGCGGGACCGGTTGCGTGGGGGCTCCTGTGTGGCATGAAACGTGGTGTGGTTGAAGGTGCAGTAACGGGAATGGGGAAGAGTTGGGGGAGGGGAGTCGAGAGGTGGAGGCAATGTTGGTGATAGTGGTCAAAACAACTGGCGTTACTCTGGTGTCGGGGAGAATGAGGATCCGAAGACGGCAACAAGCTGCCTTGTTAGAGATGAGAACCTAACCGGGGGCGGGGGGAGGGGGGCGCCTTACGGCACCCCCTCACCTCTTCCCGTGGTTAGGTGGTGGAGGTCGGGGGGAGAGGTTTCGTTAACCAAAGAAAGTCATTCAGGGCGGGACAATAATGACTACAGGTGTCAAAAGAAACGCGGCGAAAAGTTGACGATTTCGGCCAGGTGCAGAGAAGGCGAAAAAATGTGCTCCCCACAGGGATCGAACCTGTGACCGCGGCGTTATTAGCACCGTGCTCTACCGACTGAGCTAGAGGAGCCTCAAGTTGTTGAAATTTGATTCTGCATAATCAATATATTTTATTGTTTTACTGGGACCACTCTCACCGCTCTCGCTCTTGATTGTAAAGTTGGTTGTGTAGTGCCATGACCAAGGACCTATTGTTGCACATTATCAAAAAATTGCATTATATTTTTTATTTCATTAATTGACTTGCCAAATCTTGTGCCCTCTTGTTCCTTCTGCCCCCACACAAGGGATCTCTGAAACTTGTGACCCATGCTGGCATTATCAGCTTCCAGTGCTCTACTGACTGAGCTAGAGGAGCCTCAAGTTGTTGCACTCTGAGCTCCATAGCCCATTTATTCCATTCTCTTACTCTGACCTCTTGTTATTGACTTGCTGTTCTGGGTCACTGTGACAGTTGTGGTGTTCTGAATGTGTCAACCACATCATGTTATACAAATTACAATACAAATATCTCCACAACTAATGCAGATATCACTCTGTCACTTAAAAGTGTGAATCTACATCTATATATGTCTCTGTCAATGCAATAATTTTACAATGTGTTTCTGAGACTGTAACTTGTCCCATGGGGCAGGATCACTCACAATACTAACACCCCCCCAGAGTGCAACATCCCTAAATACTTCAGCCACTCTGGACAATCTTAACCACTCCAAGTCCCTTGTGGTGCTTTGTGAATAATGGGTTAGGAAGTGGTTTTGTAAGAACATCTGACACATTGTCTTCCATTCTGATCAGTGTCAAATCAATAATTCCTTCAGTGATTGCCTGTTTGACATAGAGATCCTGTAAATCAATATGCTTTGTCCTTCCCTTATTGAATTTGGCCTGGTGTTCAATATCAACTACTGACTTATTATCACAGAAAATTACAAGTTGTTCATCTCTTCCAGATAAATCTTTCACAAGTGCCTTCAGGTAATTTGCATCTTGCACTGCATTAGATATTTCATACAAAATTTCCACTTCAGCAGGTGATGTTGCAATTGTCTTCTGAATTTAGCTTGCATAAGACACAACTGCACCAGCTAATCCAAAAAAATATCCTATGGTTGATTGCTGCATCAAATTTAAATCTCCCTAATTTGCATTTGCATATCCAACTAGCTCTCCCAATTTAGTATCAAAGGGTCCACTGATGGTTCCAGATCTGTACATAATTCTATAACCAATAGTTGCCATGTAGATATCCAAATAAGTGTCTAGCTTGCATCCAATGCTCAGGGCAAAAATTTGCTTGATAACGTGCCAACATACTTGTAGATTGAAGTAAATCAGGTATCCAATCAAAATTTAATGGCCTGCTTTTGGACCAAGCTTATTTTATCCCTTCTCCTTGTTGAGAACATAGGCATCACAGTCTAGCACTCTGAGATGTGATAAATCTGCAGTTTTCTTGGTCAGTAGCTCAAATGTAATAGCACCATTCACTGCTTGAGATGGTAAAATGTTCTTCACATGCTCAACACCCTTTGCAATTTCTGACCAGTAAGATTGTGGTAGATTGGACTAATTATTGATTTCTCTGGTAGGCTCTATAATAGTCCTGATGGCTCTCTCAGCTTTGCTGTTAAGCTCAGGTGTGTGGGGTGGACTCTCTTCATCTTCAACACCATTTGCTTTCATCCATGCTTGCATGGAATTAGACTTCAAAATTTCTTTTGCATTGTCACTCCATAGTTTCTTCAATATAAAGCCAGGATATTGTTTTTCCATTCTCAATTTGTACTCCTTAATTTTGGGCTCAGCATCTGACTTTGCTCTCAAAGTTTCAATATCAATGGTTGAAGTTCCTTCATCAATGAGAAGCAGAATATATTTTTCTCTGTGAAGTCCTTCGACACGTGCTGGACCCCATATGTCAAGGTGGACTCTTGCACCAGGTGCAGTCTCTTTTTCTCTTGGTGGGTTGTTAAATGGGAGCCTAGCAGCTTTTGCAATATTGCACCCAAGGCAGTT